GCGGAGGTAGTTGACACATGGCAGCAGGTGGAGGCATTGACAGGGGGTGACGCAAAGTTGACAAGGCTGGCGTGCATTGTTAAGCAGAAAGAAAATGGAGAATACAAATACAGGCTGGTGGTTGACTGCAGAAGGTCTGGTGTGAATGGCTTGAGCAAAGTCCATGAAAGGGTGATCCTGCCAAAGATGACAGACGCCATTTCATCAATACAATCGCTCCTGGAAGTACATCACTGGGACAGTGAACAGGAGTTGGAGTTGTTCTCAGCAGACTTCAAAGACGCGTTCCACATGTTGCCCTTGTGTGAGACAGAGCGCAAGTACGTGGTGTACAAGAACGGTCGTTCGCAATATCACGTGTCAAAAGTGGTAGTGTTCGGCCTGACTGCGGGGCCATTACTCTGGGCACGGCTGGCGAGCGCCGCGATGAGGTTGGCTCAAGCAACACTACACAAAGGAGAGGGCGCTTTGGCTTGCTATGTGGATGACCCACTTTTAGCAGTGATGGGACCCAACAAGCTTGCTAGGATGAGAACCTTTTGTGTTTGCGTGGCTGTTTGGCTGGCACTGGGGCTGGAAATTTCATGGTCCAAGGTCAGCCATGGCAGATCCATCAAATGGATCGGATATGAGGTGGACTTGCAAGGCTACCAATATGGTGATGTGGTGGTGAGGCTCGCACAACCGAAAAGAGAGAAGTTGCTGCAAGTCTTTGAGGACATGTTGGCATGCAAAGGAATGATTCCACTCCGGCTGCTAACCTACGCCACAGGAGTCATCGGTTGGGCAAGCAGCGTGATGCCAGCCACTCGACCATGGCTGGCAATGTTGTATGCAGCAGCCACACAGCACAAGCAAGGCTCTTCAGCTCGTCTGAAGAAAGGTTGGTATATCTCAAGCAAATCAACCATGCTGTTAGATGGCTTCATGCACTGATACAGGAGGTGGATGCTCTACGGCCTGGGCTGCAGAAGGTCTTCCGCTATAGGCCCAACGACCCATGGGTGCTCATCCAGACGGACGCATGTCCTACCGGAATGGGAGCATATCTCATGATAGCAGGAAAGTTTGCAGCATATTGGCATGACAGTGTCACAGCTGCGAACCTAGAGTTGTTGGGAGCGACAGCGGGAGACCCTGCATTCCAAAGCGAATGGGAGCTGCTAGCGGTGTGGATATCAGTTGAAACGTTCATGCCTATCTTGTCTGAGCTCGGTTGCAACCCACGAATCTTGCTTAGAACAGACAATGCAGCGACCATTTCAGCAGCCATGGACTACAGAGCAAAGTCGCCATTGATGGTGCAGTTGGCCGCTGAGATTAGCATGCAGATGGAAGTTCATCAGTTGTCTCAACTTCGTGCAGAGCATGTACTGGGGATCAGCAACAAGATTGCAGATCAACTGAGTCGGATGCAAACGCATGATTCGGTGCCTGGTCCGCTGCGCACGGCGAAGTGCTTGGTCCCTCAACCACGAGGCAAACACATGTTTCGTGCGTGGCCGTGAAAACAAGATGCTCTTGCTTCAAAGGTGAGAGAACTGATTGGTCCATCACATGTTTACAGATTTGACACACCGTGAGAGGGTCTCATGTTGGTCAACTGTAGGCGGTATCGACTGATCGACATAATGCCTCGCTGCAGGCTGGCATCATGGAGCACTCAAGAGCCTGGAAACTCAGAGATCTGACGGGTACAGGTGTCAAGAGGGCAACATAGTTAGGATGGCAGACTCTGGCCCCCTTGAAGAGTGTGTGTGTCGGAGTCGTTGTCTTGACAGTTGCTTCTTGATGGATGAACTTGTGCCTGATAGATCTTAGAGCATGAGAATAGCTAGAAGGCGTAGCAATGAAGGTCGTACAATGAAGGTCGTAAGGGTTGTTATGTCCGCAGCCATTTCATGATCATGCCCTACAAAGGGTGTAGAGGTCCTATTTTCACGCCCTTTTCGTATGCGGATGTTTTGCCTGCGAAGGAGGAATTGCCTCCAGCAGTAGTGGCCGCTAGAAGAGCGTTGGGGTGGACCGAAGAAGAAATTTGGAATGGCAAAGAGAACATTGAACCAGAGTGTGACAATACAGGAAGGGCACCTGTCACCCCAGTGGAGCCATGCCTAGAGCCAATGAGGCTGGTGACGGAGGCGGGTGAAGTGTTGACGAAACGTCGTAGGATGGGACCATGGGTGCCGGGGGAAGAACGAGGGAAACCCAACAGGGGTAGCTCTCAACTGGCGCTTCAGATCGCGTCCAATCCCGCTAAGAAAGATTTGGCGGTGAAGCAATTTGGGAGTCTCACCTTAGCTCTGACGACGCAAAACACCAAAGAGTCCCTGTTCGCCTTGTGGGAGAAAATCTGCAGAAGATTAGGGCTGGAAGCCTTGCCAGTGACAGACCAGAGCATGGTGGAGGTGGCAGCAGTGTTGAGAGCAAGCGGATACAAGGCGGTGACGGCCTATGTGCAGGAAGCAAAGATCCGGCACATTAGAGCTGGATATGTTTGGGATAACAAGCTGAACATGTTATTTGGGGACGTGAAGAGAGCAGCCAAGCGCGCACAAGGACCAGCAGTGAGAGCTGAAGATGTGCGCTTAGAATGGTGGGCTATGCTGATGAACCGCGTTGGGGAAAACCCTGATGTTGAGTCCCAACAATCCTGCTGGAGGTACGCTGGTGTGGATCCTAGCCACAAGGTTCGTGCTGCATGAGACCGAACTCGCTGGGTTGACGGTTGACAACAATGGTGTGAAGCTTGACATCCACAATCAAGTAATTAGTTTGCATCTGCCAGTACAAAAGACCGACCCAGGAGCCAAGGGCGCATGGAGAGCTGTACCTTGTCGCTGCCAGCGTGAGGAGCCGTCAACGTGCCCCTTTCATGTTGGGAAGAAGCTGGTGGAACTACAACTCGCGAGGTTGAGGGTGCGGACACAGGCAGGAGTGACGGGTAAAGGTTTCCCTTTGATCGGACAAAATATGTGACCCGAGAAAAGTCGTGGAGAAAGAAGACATGATCAGTCACGCTCAAAAGCTGGTCTCGCTCGTGAAAGTCGAAGTGAATGATGCTTGTGACATCGTTATTGAACGAGTGACGGGGCATTTTGCTAGAAGATCGGGAGTGAAATTTCTTGCAAGAAGCGGGGTGCCGGTGGCATCGATTCAGTGGCTGTCGAGATAGTTCAAATGTGGTTTGGCAATACATTGAAGACTCATGGGCAGAGTGTCCACGAGCGGATATGCAGATGTCAGATGTTCTCACCACGTGCGACTTAGTGACAGCTGCTTTGAATAGGGTCGATCGAGTTGAAGAACACCTGAGGCGCGCGGAAGAGATGTTAGAAGAGCAAGTTGAGAAAGCAGTTCCACCAGAATGGATTGTACAGAACAAAGAACAACTGCGAAATGAAATTAGGAAGGCCATGCGACCGATTGCAATAATCAGTGGCAGGTCGAGCAAGATGCATGCAGTGAATCAAGCGAGCTGTGTCAACGGATGGCCTTGGATAGACGCAGCTTGCCAATGCAAGTTGATCTTTGAAGAAGACGAGATGGGTGACCACCTGGAAAGATGTGCAAAGTGTTATCCTGGGGCGATGTAAGAGGGTGGACTCGGGCAAGAATTCCGGAGTTCATCCTCTTGAGATGTGACCGGTCACGTGGAAAATGTGACTGGTGACACTCAAGCCCATAGGATGAGAAATGATGTTTGAGATTTAAACGAATTCTAGAATGAATTCTTGCACATCGCCCATCACCGAGAAAAGTGTGTGCTCTTTGGGTGGTGGAGGGGAAACGAAGCTGAAACGTCTTTCTGACCGAAACTTGATGCTGTGATGTCGGGGGAACACGTGGCGAAGGATGGATTGAAATTGAAACTGAAATAGATTTATGATCCAACCACTCTTGGGATCGTCCGCGGATGTTGAGGACGAAGAAAAGTCTCGCTTTCCTTGGCCAAATCCTTTGGCTCTGGATTGAAGCCAAGAATCTTTTTGGGATGCGACCCCCCTTTGGGTAGTATACTCTCCCCACGTCACCAGGGAATTGCCGCGGAATTCGCTGTAGATGATGCCGTAGCACCCCGAACAGAAGAAAGATCTAAGCCACACGGAATCCGCCAAAGTGCAGTTAAACATGACTCACTCCTTAAACATCCTGAAATTTCAGCTTCAAAGAGTGGACAATGATGTCTATAACATGAAGGTGAAACCGACCTTAAGCCCTGCCCCGGCCGGGCCGAGCCTCCGCCCTCGGCCGGTCTCGGTCTTAAGACTGATCCGCCACAAAACGGGAAACGCCCAAGAACCGTTAAACGGAACGGAGCAAGGCGGTTGTCCGTTCAAACCACTTCCGTGCACCCGCTGTGGAGCCGCTGTGGTCACCGAGTCCAAGGGTTTAGGTCTCGCCGGTCGAAGGCGCGGACTCCGCCAGGTGTCCTTCCTGCTCTTCGCCGATGGCCGCGCCGACCCCGAGGAGTGGCGGCCCAACGCCGACGAGAGCAGCTGGGCAGGGAAGAAGGTGGGGGATAGAAGAAGGTGTGGGTGGGAGAAGGTGTGGGTCGGCAGAGCTTCTCTCGAAGTTCATTTAGCATAACTGGAGAGGAACTAAGTCTTTCACGATCTTTCACGTGTGTTTGTGTGTGTTCTTCAAGTGTTGGTGACCGTGGAATTTCCAAGTGGGTTTTTCTTTTTGGCAGACAGATTCAAAGCTCCAACAGAGTTGGTCGATGTTTTGTCTGTCCAGTCAGTACAATGTTGGAACGAGAGCAGACCGTGCCACGGAAAAGTCCTATCAGGTGATTTCGCAGCCCTTCATGGCTTAAGAACTTGCGCGAGAGAACCCGCCCCCCATGGAAGTTGGCGAATGGACTCAGCTGGAATGCAAAGGTGAGCTGCCACCGGCTCGATTTCGGCACTCGGCCATTCTCTGGGGGGATGAGCTGGTGATCTTCGGAGGTCAGGGCAAGCTTGCCAGCGGCTACATGGGAGACCTTTGGAGTTTGGATCTAAAAACTCAAATCTGGAAGCAGCTGAAGCCCAAGGGCCACCCCCCAACGCCTCGCAACGGCCACTCGGCCATCCTGTGGAACCAAGTCATGATCCTCTTCGGAGGACTCGACGGCGGTGGTCGTTGGCTCTCAGACACGTTCCACTTGGATCTGCGGTCGTCGGAGTGGTCGAAAAAGACCCCGCCCGGCGAGGTGCCCGGAGGACGGGGCAGCCATTCAGCAGTGCTTTGGGGCGATGCCATGGTGATTTTTGGTGGAACTGACGGAGGAAAGTGCTTCAACGATACCTGGACGTGGAGCCTCCGCTCCGAAGAGTGGCAGCAGGTGGTCCCCAAAGGCAAACTGCCACCGGAAAGATGTGCCCACTCTGCGGTGCTGTGCAAGGAACGCATGGCGATCTTCGGTGGAAGCGGCAGCGGTTATACCTTCCTCAACGACGTGTGGCTGCTCAGTCTGGAAACCACACGATGGGAGTGCTTGAGCCCATCGACGGGCCACGTGCCGGAGGAGCGCTGCGGACATTGCGCCGTGATGTGCGATGACCACATGGTGATCTTTGGTGGAGGTGGCCGTGGCAAAAGGCACTTCGAGACGTGCACCTTGCAGATCAGCACCGGAGCCTGGACGCTCCACCAAGACAAAGCCGACCCTCCACCGGGCTATTGGTGGCACAGAGCAGTCCTATGGAAAGACAATCTGGTCACCTTTGGTGGTCTCGACGCCTCCCACAACGCTCAGCAGGGCACCTGGCGCCGCAAGTGCATCGCCAAGTCCACCGAAGCGATCCCCGCGACTGCGACTGCTGCAGCCACGTCGCCAGCATCGCCCCTGGCCTCGCCGCTCCGCCGCGGCACCGTGCTGGGCCGCGAGGCGCTGCCTCCGACGCCCCGCCAGGACACCGAGATCTCCGCGGCGGTGCGCGGGGTCGACGTCTCCGAAGTGTTCGAGGCATGCGCGGCCATGGCGGCGCTGCCAGAGAATGTTTGGGTGCCTTTGACAAGCGGTGTTTGTGCGTTTTTGGTGTCAGAGGGAGATGATGGGAGTGGGTTAGGTTAGTGAGGATGTAGATTTTGGAGAATCGAGAGAGGTTGCATTCATGAGATTCCAAAGATCACGCTGTAGGTTGTCAATCATTGCATGTTTCAATGGAGCACCTGGTCGCTTGAGCCATCCCAGCTTTGTTCCCAGGCCTTTCTGACTGATTCTCTTGTTTTCGCATTTTTCCCCAATCAGGTCCAAATTGGAGGCTGCATCAAGCTGTCGCACTGCGTGGGCCATGATACCATCGCAGCTGATGCGCTAAAGCTCGTGGTGGCAGCACTCATGACCCATCGGACGAATCCACAAGTTCAAGACTGGGCTTCCCAGGCATTGGCGGCTCTATGTGCCTTGGATTTCTTTAACACTAAGTGTTTGTTGAAGGTCGTTTGTCATCCATGTCTTCCTTTTAGCTTGTTTTTGCAGCTGCTATGCAGCTGCTCTATGTGTTTCATGAATTGGTTATTGAGTTAGGTTTAGCTGGCTCTCGTGTTTTGTTATGAACTTCCTGCCGGTCACAAAATACAACTCCCTTCACGGACATACCCCTGAGGCAAACCCGGTCTCACATGGGTTTCACTTGCGAGGCTCCGGCATGGACAGCGCCTGTTGCGCACGGAAGGAGCAGGCCATGGCCGAGGGAGCCCTGGAGGCTCTGGTGAAGTCCGCCCAGTCTAAAGAAGCCACTTAGATCAGAAAGGAGGATTTCATCATCAGTTCGTTTTGCTGCTTTTGGTTGCTATTTGCATCGGATTTACAGATCCATGTCTCGACCTCTCAAAAAGCGTCCCTAGGAAAACAGCTACGTTCAGGACTCACAGACTGCCCCTGGAACGACCCCCCTGGGCCGAGCATCATTTGGCCGGACTATACCTGCGTCAGTTGAAAGGATCAAACCTGGGATCAAAATGAACAGGTCCATCGAAATCATCGAAGGGGATTGGGGGAGTTTTCCCATGCTTTCCCCACTCCAAAATGGAAAGTTCACAATCGAAACATATCGAAACCACTTCTCTTCTCGATCGAACTCCGGCTCCGGGAGACCCTCCGGACTCGTTTTCCAGGTGAACGTGAAGCGCTCCGCCATCGGAGCCTTGGGCAATTTGTGCTGTGGCGGAGACGTGGGTCGCACGCAGCGGGTGATGCGAGCGCTGGAAGCTCAAGCGCTGGAGATCCTGCGACAGACGCTGAAGACAGATGACTCATCCAGGACTGCGCCAGATTCCGCTCTTTCTTTGATTTAGGGGCTCAGACATGTTTGGAGCGTTTGCGCGTTTAAAGTGTTTTCCACGTGAGTTCGAGGTGTTATTGGGGGACCTGGAGCAAAGTACAAAGACAAGGTGGGTCATAAGCCACACTCAGGTTCTGCGTTGCTAAGATGTATTGCTGCCTTTAAGATCTTCGATTCCTGGGGAAGAGTCTCTTCATTGAAGGGAAGAGCAGCTTAGGCGTTCTTTGTGAAGACGAGCGGAAATTTATGCCGAATGATGAAGTTGGGCAGAAACTTTTCCCTGACGAGGGTCTAGGTATTCATTCACCGAGGTGGTCGAAGGATGGCTTCACTAAGCTTCACTGATCGAAGTGGTTTGGGCCAGCCAGCTTAGGAGCATCAGTTGGATGAGGAGCTCTCGGTGTAACCTTGTTGATCCAGAGATGAATTGGGACTGCCCGTCCCTCGCGCCTGGCTTTTGCATGTGTTTGTTGTGCTTCTTAGTGGGTGGTTTCTCAATTGGGGGGGGAACCACGAAAATTCAAAGACATCCAAGTACAGTCCAAGGGAAGAGCTCTTTGACACCTCCGGCAACCCAAACAACCAGAAACAAACTGGATGCTTCCACAGTCCCAACCACTTGTTATGAAAAGGATCTCAAGGAAGCTAATATTGGAAACAACCTTTTGTTGCCCGTTCGGGGAATCTCCCCGGATCGTCATGTCATCAGCCCGGTTGCGGCGAGGACCATCCGGAAGGTCTTCGCTGCTCTGGCGCAGTTGATGGAAGCCGCTCCAGAAGAAGTCTCCAGTGGCGAGACGCTGGAGTTGGTCGCCTGGCGGAGTTAGCACTTGGAGTCCAAGTCCTTCAACAACTCAATGGCCATCTAAGAAATCTAAGGGACTTGAACTTAAGATCCCTGGGAGTTGACCCTGCTTCTGTCCTTCTATTAATCTATGGGACTCGAACTTAAGATCCCTTCTTCCGTTCGGTGGCAGAAGTCCTGAAGTCCTCCACTGCCCCAACAGCTCCAGGTCCTATCTGTAGATATGGCGCCGACATGTACTGATGCAGGAGATGTTCACGTGCCACTCAAGTGCCACTGGTTTCTTATATGTTCTTATGAGATCCTCCTTCCCATTTCCACTACAGAATGGGGCCCCCTAAGGCCACTATAACAGGGTAGCATACTATAGTGATTGGTGTGTACCATATGAGAAGAGGGATCTTCTGAGTATCTTGTCTGGCATTCGCAGTCGCATGCAAGGTCGAGAAAGCGATGGCCGCCCGACACGACAACCTGGAGATTCAACAGGTCGGTCGTCACATCCAACAGGCCTTGGCAAGTGGAGAAGAACAGCCAGAACAGCCTCCTAGATGTCTTGTGAGAATGTTTCACTGACAGTCACAGTGCTTGACTCACTGTATCATCAAACTTGTTGTGTCATTAGTGTGTTCCAAACAGCTGTTGGCGTTAATTCTCCGCATGTCCTTCACCACCACCACCCCACCCAACCGAAATTGCTGAACACCCGGCAGGTGGCCGTGCCGCGCGACTGCGCCAAAGAGAAGCCCAGCTATTGGTCTGGGCAAGCGACAGACGCGTCGGGCTGGAACCTTTGCCCCGTGACGGAGGAGACCACGTTGAAGCCTGGCCACGGCTGCGCTGTTCGCGCGCGGCGCGCTTGCGCTTAAGGTGGTTGATGTTATTTTTCCGGAGAAGATCCTGAAGAATGGAAGGAAAAGGGATATGAAGGAAGGCCACATTGTGTTCGTTGTTTGGACCTCAAAGCATATCTGTTGTGTCAGATTGGGTTTTTCCTGCAGTTCACAGCTGCCGAAGTTTGTCGCATCAGCTGCATGTGTGGGGCGTGGTGTTTTTCCCCACCTGGCAGGTGAGGGTCATTAGATTTTATCAGAGATGAGATGTCCTCTTTTCCTCCACTTGAAGTAAAGTAATATTTTGAACTGGTGATCCAACAGATGGCATGTGATCAATGCAAATTCGAGGAATGCGCTCAGAAAGATGTTCCTCGTGGACCGCCCGAAGGAGCTGGGCAAGGGCAAGGACACCGAGAAGTACCGAGAATCCCAGCTGATTTGTGACTGTTGTGTTTCGGTCAGCCGTGGCTGAGGGCCACGTTGATCTTTTCCCCCTAAGGCGGAACATCCACCTTTAAGGATTGGTATAGAGGCTGATAGCTCTGGATTGCTTTCAATTCCATCAAGTGAGAGGATCAGACGTGGCTTGATCGACTCACTCCTCGATCCACAGGCTTTCCTATTTGGGTTGATCTCGAGGGCGTTCTTGTCCTGTGCCAGCTTCTGGCAGATTCGCCTATCTTCAAC